AAGTCTCCCCAAACCAATGGCTATCAGAGGAAGCGAATGGAAAAATCAGGAGTTGGCAAAACTGCTCTGGGGTATTTTCAGTTTTGTTTTTATCTTTATTTCAGAAACTGGGAGCCAATGAGAGCCATATTAGCAGATGAGAACAAGTGAGGGAGGGGGGAAGATGAACAGGCCATGATACCGGAATATAAGACTCAAAAGATCACATACTTAAATGCTAGCAATGACAGCAGTGAGTCACACAGCACAAAGCTATGCTATGCAAACATAGCTATTCTGTATGTCTCAAGAGACAGGCTTTATCAGGGGGTAGAGGTGAGGGACTCCTTGGACACTTGTTCTAGGCATTTTAGCTTGATTTTAATGTTCTAGCCTTATCAGGTCCGTGTACCAAGAGACACATCTTAGAACCACCTGATAGAAGACTACATAGTGTTCAGAATGGTCTGGAGCTGAAGGTATTCCACACTTAAGAAGCAACCCAGGGTTTTGCTGTGGGCTATCCAAATTCCTCCCAAAGTGTTATTCTCTGCTAGCTTCCTTAACCCAGAGAAGCAGAGTTAGAGATCAACTCTTTTCCCTAGAAAAACAGTTGATTTATTTGCTCAGATGCTGACTCAAAGTTGTAATGGGAACTGAATAAGCTGCATGTTGCAGTCTCTTACAAAACCATCACAGATGTTTATGGTGAAAGCCATGGAGGACAAGAAGAAACATCAGGTGGGAGGTTGAATTGCTAAGGCTTACTAATCAGTGAACTCCCCTTGACCCCATATCTACTTCTAGGACTCATCCCTTGTCCTTTATGGTGTGTGTGTGTGTGTGTGTGTGTGTGTGTGCACATTGGAGCTAGTCTTGTACACTTTTCTGCAGAGGCTGGCTTCAAACCTTGATTTTCCAGATGTCAGCCTTGAGTAGCTAAGATTATAGTCATAAGCTCTCAGAAGGAGCTTTTTATTTAAGTGGGTTAAACTGTAAGGCAAATAGGATGGACACAGGAAGGGAAGGGATAGTGGGAGAGCAACAAGGGAGGGGGTAACAGTGCTTGACAAGAAATGTATTCGTTGCCTTACTCATTAACTGTAACTCCTCTTTACAGCATCTTTACAATAAAATAAAATTAAAAAAAATCTTAACAACAACAAAAAGGATGGACATCTTTCCTTGCCCCTCAAACAGTATTGCAGCAGACAACCTTGTAACAAGATAGGTTAACAAGAGAGAAACCTAACATTTTTTTTTTGTCAGTCATGGGGCTTGAACTCTAGGCTTGGGCACTGTCCCTCAGCTCTTCAGCTCAAGACTAGTGCTTGAAGCCGGGCGCTGGTGGCTCACGCCTGTAATCCTAGCTACTCAGGAGGCTGAGATCTGAGGATCTCGGTTCAAAGCCAGCCCGGGCAGGAGAGACCGTGA